AGAGAATTGCAATAGTCAATACGGGAGGTAACAAGACCATGGACAAGAATGGATGTAGACTGGGTGGAAAGAGAAGGAAGCAATCTGTTAATGTTACGTAGATGGAAGTAGGCGGAACGGGTGAGATTATTGATGTGAGATTTATAGGAAAGTGAACTGTCTAGGATGACACGAAGGCTCTTAACCTGAGGAGAAGGGAAAACTGTGGAATTATCGATGGTGAGTGAGAAATGGTTTGCCTTCAAAAGGTTGGATTTGGTGCCAATAAGGAGGATCTCAGTTTTATCCTCATTGAGCTTTAGAAAATTAGAGGTAAACCAGGATTTTCGCTCGGATAGACATTCTGAAAGGGAGGAAGGTGGGAGGGAGGAGTCAGGTCTGCAAGTGAGATATAACTGGGTGTCATCAGCAAAACAGTGAAACTGGAGATCAAATTTGCAGAAAATGGTACCTAGAGGGAAGATGTATATTATGAAGAGAAGAGGGCCTAAGACTGAGACTTGGGGTACACCAGAGGTGATGGGGAATATACGAGAGCAGAATGATCTTAGTTGAATAAACTGGGAATGGTCGAGGAGATATGATTGAAACCAGGCGAGGGGTGTGTCAGAGATGCCGAGAGAGGAAAGTCTTCTTAGAAGTACAGAGTGAGAGATGGTGTCAAAAGCTGAGCTCAGATCTAAAAGGACGAGAATGGTGAGAAGACCAGAGTCCGCTCCGATTAGAAGATCGTTAGTGACTTTAAGTAGAGCAGTTTCTGTACTGTGACATGAGCGAAAACCAGATTAAAATCTCTTGTAGATATTATTATTAACCAGGTGTAAATGAAGTTGAGCCCGCAACCAGTTTTTTGAGTATTTTAGAAATGAAGGGTAGAGTAACAACCTCCGTCCGATTTCCAAAGTTGTTAGGATCCAAAGAAGGTTTTTTCAGTGACTAGAGCATTCTTGAATAAGGAGGGAACGATACCGGTGGTGAGAGAAGAGTGAATGATAGCAGAGATGAGTGAGAGTAAAGAACAGAGGCAGGATTTCACAAGCCCCGTGGGCATGGGGTCAAGATGACATGTGGCAGGCTTTGATTTACATATGAACTCGGAAATATCAGATAAATCAGGAAGATGAAAAATGGAAAACGGCTCAAAAAGGAGAAAAGGTTCTGGAGAGGGGGTAGACACAACATTTGATCTGAGTTGCTGGTGGATGTTATTGATTTTCGTAGTCCAGAACTGCATCAAGGAGTTGCAGGTTTCAGAGGAATAGAAGTGTGGTGGTAAAGCGTTGGGCGGTTGAATTAATTTGTTAAAAACTGAAAACAGAGTCCTTGCATTACCCTCATAAGAACTGATAATACCAGAGTAGAAGCTTTGTTTGGCCTTGCTGATGGAGTCTTTATACTGAAGTACATGGTATTTATAGAT